TTTTTGAATTTCATAAAACACCGTTTTGTATGTTTTTCCTTCCTTTTGTTTTACGGGGACACAGGAAGTGTCCTCATAAACCATGTTTACGTTGTAGTACCCATGTCATTATACACATTTGTGTCCTCATAAACCATATATACCTGTACACTCGTGCGAGTGTGTGTGTGAGTGTGTGTGTGTGCGTGTGTGAGTGAGTGTGTGTGTGTGTGTGCGCGAGTGTGAGTGTCTCACACTCACACACAAAATCTTTTTGCAAGTCTCGCAATTCTGACTTCTGACTTGCAACTGCGAGTTTCTGAGAAAAAAATTCAGAATTGCAAGAAAAAAAGTCAGAATAAGACAAAAAGTCGCAATTAGCTGTGGCAGAAACGGGCTTCCATATATTTCCACCTCAAAATAAAAATAAAAAATTAATACTTTTTAATCCCACAGTTCTGACTTTTTTCTATGCAATTGCGAGTTTCTATCTCACAATTAGGACATTTTTCTTAGAATTGTATTTCTCACACTTGCAATTCTGAGTTTACATGTCACAAGTCTGTTGTTGTTTTTTTGTTTCCCCATGGAATAAAACAAATAAATAAAGGTAACTCCGACTTTTTATCTAACTTTTTAACTTATTGCAAGTTTATATCTTGCAATTCTTGTGAGACATAAACTCACAATTTCAAGATGTAAACTTGCAATTGCGAGAAAAAGTCAGAATTGTGGGATAAAAAAAAATAGCAAAAAGGTATTTTTATTTTATGGTGGAAAATAAAGTGAGTGGCGCTAAAAGTGCATTCAGTTTTATATGAAACAGATGAACGTGAATCTGACAAAGTTTTATTACGCTGGTTATTGAACATATTGCAGCAACTGGAAATGAAATGTCCGATGAGTAGCACTAAAAAGTTGCTCTATTGCATTTGAAAATAATGTACCGCCTACACTAAAACTGACTGAGAGTGTTAACAAAAGCAAATGAGAGTTAAAACCACACTTGCTAAAGCAATCATGCCATTTTATGGTGCTTCTACAAGTCTTTTAGTGTTTCACAGGATCTCGTGCATTGCAAACACACTGCTGTACCGGGTGCGCTATCGAGCAAGCTTACTACATCAGAAAAGCCACACGTATGGCACTGGTTATGTGATGCAAACATCAAAATGTATCAGTTTACAAATCAGGTGCTATGGTAAAAGTGTTTTGAGGTCATAACAGAGTTGTGCAAGCAACCACGCAAGAATAAGTCTTTATTAATCGCAAATCTGCCTCTGTAGTCATGATTCGTGTTAAAAAGGAATAAAAGTTGTTGGTGTTTTACTGCCTCTAGGATTCATTTCAGCAGGAAACTGCAGTGAATTGTACGTATAGGAACAATTGGTGTAGAAACAACAAAACTCATAATTACAAAGAAACAGCACATTAAACCAAACATGAAATTTTGAAGCATAAAGACTGAAATAGTATTTTCGTGTAAAGCATACTCTGATAACCAGTTTTTTACAAACATGTTTTTAGAGTGTAGGAACAAAAAGACTAGTCTTTAACTTTGTTTGTTACATGCAGCATCAGAGGAAAATATCAGAAAATAAATCAAGGATATTTTTAAGTGGTGTATTTGTGTATTCTGACTGTATGAATGATAATGAAGGTAATTACACCTGTATGTCTAGTTAAGGTCTCTCAGATTGGAGCAGATATCAGTCTGATCGGTCCGTTAGAGCTTCATCTGATAACACCAGCTGAGTCTGATTTATTCTTGCAAAAGCTTGACAGAGTGACAAGCAAAAACCCTTTTTAAGATGAAGGACATGACTATTACATTACAGTGTGAAGAGTGAAGATAGATATGCAGAAGAGAAAGCCAGTGGGATCAGGATCTTTGCACCTCTCTCTCTCTGTGTGTGTGTGTGTGTGTGTGAGATGCATTTGTGTCACGCTCAAGATTTCTCTCTGAGAGCTTAACCAAAGCATTTCAGATTAGTGTGTGTAGGCTGAATCTTAAAAATGTGAGCCGTCATTTAAAGCATCACACACAGTATGCAGCAGTATAACGCACGCATGACAGACAAGAGCCGATTAAAGGTCTCACCTCAATAGAGCAGGAGACACAGAGAGAGAAAAGATTCAGGGATGGAGGAGTGTGTGATTGTATAAGCAGAGCATCACATCCACTGTGTGTGTGTGTGTGTGTTTAAAACTAGTGTACACTATCATCAATTCAATTGAAATTGCACAAACAATGACTGTTTTCAAACAGGTCTTCTTATACACGTCTTTGTCTGCCGTGGGTTGAACAAACAGATAATCCTGCCTCAAATTCAATCTTGATTGAGTCAGAATTTGCCATATTGAGCCGGTCAATGAAGTTTGTTTATATAATATGAAGTTTTGCAATATAACATAATGTAATATAATATAATACATTTTTTATTTATTTGTTCATTTATTTATTTAAATTTGAAGTGAAATATGACCAGACATTAATTTTATGGGGTCTTCAATTGTCATGACAATGAAGTCAAACGAAAAAAATATATAATAATATAATGTAATATAATATAATAATATAATATAATGTATGGTAACGTAACATAATATAATATATATAATATAATTTGTTTGTTTGTTTATTTATTTAACTTTGAGATGAAATATAATCTGACATGCTTTCATGAACTTTTGTGGGTCTTTAATTGCCATGAAAATGATGCCATAATGCATAAACACTTACCTTATTTTCATAAAAATAGTCTTCTTAATATAATACAGTATAATATAATATATTACATTTTTCCTTTTATTCAACTTTGAGGTTTAATATGACTATACATGTTTTTGTGTTTCATGTAATGAGATAAAGAGAATATATTATGTGTCTTTCTACTCTTCAGAGCAGTGTGTGTATTTGTGTTTAATTATTGTTTAGACACACACACAGCTAAAGCGTAACTAAGTCTGTTTAGACTCTGAGCGAGAGCAGCTGTACAGACATTGTGCTGCACAGACCGCATGAATGATGATCCATCTACAGCCTCAGCTCAACTTCAGCTCCGATTCGCTGATATGTTGAAGTCCTGTGGTGTGACATACAGTATATGGCACTTATGACCATATTACCTAAAAAACCACATAATGTGTATTCTTTGTCACACCATATAAACTTGTGGAGACAAAAATTGTGATTAAAGGTGCAAAACTTTCCAATTACAGCAGTTGACTTACACACTTTCCTTTAGAGCCATATTGACAACAGCTCATGAACATTCATGTAGGTTTATATTCACAGGAGCTTTGATCCTTTTACAGTTCATTTTATTTCTAAACTTTATACACCTTTATTGGGGTGTTGATAAAGTTGAAGGTTCAAAGGTTGCGTTCCTATAAAACTTTGTCTTAAACGTTCGAACATTTGCAACCTTTGAACCTACAACTTCTTTAAGCACTACAAAATCCCACTGCTTTAATTTCATATATCACAGTAACAACAGCTGTCCTGTAGCTCAACCAGTAGGTCATGGGTTTGATTCCCAGGGAAAGCAAGAACTGATAAAAAAATGTAAATGTGTACCTTGAATGATTTAGATAAAACCATCTGCCATATGAATAAATGTAACTGTAAAATATAAAATTACATGTAACGCCCTGTTTGCTCAAACAGTTCAATAGAATTAATTTGAATAAAGTTGGATAAATAATAAAATAAACAGCACCAGTCTGACTTCTGGACGTCCAAAAACAATCAGATCAATCAGAGTCCTTTCATAGTGATGCTTCAGGACATCTGACGCTTTTAATCTATTCATTTTTACAGCATTGAATAAATGAGTTTTTATAGTACCGGGTTTACTATTTATAGTTTATAAGATCATATTTTCACATTTGTTTTCACGTGAAGTAAATATATTCTTAGTTTCTTAAAATTCATTTATTTCATTTTCTGTTGTTGTGATGAACCAGTTTGTGTTTTGCTGCACATCAAATAAACACAAGCTGAAACTCTCTCTTGCTTTCATTCCTCAGGCTGTTAATAAACGATCTAAAACAACTTTCAAAAGCATAAAATCACACATTTGGATTCCACCCACAGTTCAGATCTCCGTATCGGTCACACACACACTCTCTCACTCACTCACTCACTCACTCACTCTCACTCACATACACACACACACTCACACTCTCTCTCACACACACACACACACACACACACACTCACACTCACACTCACTCACACTCACACTCACACTCACACACACTCACTCACACACACACACACACACAATCACACACACTCTCACACTCACACACACTCTCTCACATACACACACTAACACTCACTCTCTCACATACACACACTCACACACACACACACACTCACTCACACTCACACACTCTCACACACAAACACACGCACACACACACTCTCACACACTCACACACACAATCACACACACACACAATCACACACACACGTTAAAGTGGCGTATTGCTCATCAGAAGAAGCATAAAGGATGTTTATACGTGACACGAGAGCGCACCGCGGTTCAGATGAAGCAGCATAATCATCATGACCTCCGTTAACGCATTTATGCAAACAGATGTATTTATAAATGCAGACAAACCAACTATATTCAATACGACTGTGAACACATCAGAGAAAACAAACCATCTTCAGCCCGAAGCAGGAACATCAAAGACGAGGAGTTTTGTAGGAAAATGCCAGTGATGTGAGCATGTCTATGTTTGTCACACTTTGTATCCTCACAAATATAAAGAAACCTGTTAAAACTGACATGTTTTATTTCTAACAATGAAAAAAGGTTCATATATGGGCCAAATTCAGTCTTCAAATCTAAAAATGGCTTGCGAGGAAGCGTGTTTGTGTTTGTGCATCACACACCTTCTTCTCCATCAGTTGTAGTTGCTTCTTGTAAAACTGTGCCAGATGTTTCAGCTCATCTTCTTTCTTCTTCAGCTGTCGGGCCTGATAAGAGACACAGAATAACCTGCTCAACGTCACGTGTTCATTCGCAATGCAACAAAACTCTTGATGGCTTTTAAACATGGTAGATGCTCGACTGCAGCATGATGAAGATCTGAAGTCCTCTGGTGTACCTGACGTATGACGGAAACGGCCAGTTCGAAAAGCCATGCACAACGGAAAGAGACAGAAACGCCATCATATCATCACAAACGCACTGAATAATGCGGAGATTAGCCAGGGAGAAATTAGCTCTCTGTGATGACAAACTCACCACTACCATGAAGTACAATAACACAAGAACAAAGTATGATGGGACAGAATGAAAAGACACACTACAGCTGCATGTAGAATATGATACACATTCAGTGTGTGTGTGTGTGTGTGTGTGTGTGTGTGTGTGTGAGTGAGTGAGTGAGTGTGTATGCGCACTGGTATTCTCTACATCATGCAGACCAAATGTCCCCACAAGGATAGTAATACCAGTAAATTATGACATTTTTTTTATCCCCATGAGGAAACAAACTTACAAATCATATAGAATGAATTTTTTTTTTTAAATGTAAAAATGCCTGTAGTTTTGTGTGAGGGGTAGGGTTAGAGTAAGGGGATAGAAAATACAGTTTGTACAGTAGAAAAACCACTACACCTATGGATGAATGAAGCCATCATGATAGGAATACCTGTGTGTGTGTGTGTGTGTGTGTGTGTGTGTTATTGCTACTGTAAGATTTCCGAATGTTTGGAGTCATATTTCTCATTTTCTCAGAGGCTTCAGATCATATTTGTGTTGTTGATTTGACTGAACACACACACACACACACACACACACACACATAAAGCAATAAAGCAAATCCACATTCAGTCTGTTTACTGACAGGAGATTTCACTCATTCACATGATGTGTGATTATCTGACTAACAGCTTTAAAGACAACATGGAGAAAAAAGTTTGTTTTCAGTGTTGTTATTGTTAACTACAACTATTAAAAGACTGTTTTTGGTAACTGAAATGAAATAAAATATAAATGTTAAAAACCTTGCAACATATCTAATTTTCATTTAAGTTGAAGTATTAAAATTACTAAAACTAAAAAACAAATAAAAATGACAAAAGCACACTTAAGCTAAAATTTAATTGAAAACTGAAGACAAAATAAAAACTAATAAAATAAAAATAAAAGCTAATTCAAAATATTAATAAATAGTATATAAAAAAATTCTGAAAACGACGCTCATCTTACCCTCTTATTTTAAATCACCTGTCATTATAGAGACACTTTTCACCGTGCAATCAGTTCATCACGTATAAAATCAAGTCCAAAGACATTTTTGTGGTTGAATATTGTGTGTGAATCTAGTATCACAGTTTCGTGTTGACTTTAAAGCGGCTCTGATGAAGAGACTGTGTTTGTCGTCTTATTTACATACAGCACTAAGAAGCAATGACACATAAAAACTACAATAAAACAGCTGTGCTGCTTACCCGAACACTCAACTCATCCGGCTGAGAAACAACAGAGAGGAGAGAAAAGTCATGACGAAATATAACATCTACCCTGACTGAGGTCCATCGGCTGCAATATTTATAAAAACATCAATGAAATGAACCCACATGAGGTCTGTGGCAGTTTTAAGCCGCCTCGATCTGTTTCTATAGGGCATCATGCGTTTCTTACAGTGGTTTGCTGTTCTTTTACACTCGTTTAGTTTAACTAACTGGGATTAACACATGTCTGGATGTCTAAATGAGTCTGAATACACATGTACGATCAGTGCTGTGGATAGCAATCAGCTGAGGGAAAAATGAACTGAAATGAACATAAAAGATTGCAATCGTGAGCACTAAAAGCTTTACATGCAAAACAGGGTAATTATAATTAACGATGAATCCTGGTTATTATAACAGCAACAAACAGCAACATTAAATCAAACACTCCTGCTGCCACCTAGTGCTACAAAACACTCATTGAAAAAATAAAGCATTTTAAACTGTATACTGTATGTCAGAGAAGGACAGACAGTGTCAGGAGAAATGAAAGAAGAGAGAAAGTGTGTGTGTGTGTCTTTGTCTGTTTGTGTGTGCGTATGTTTGTGTGTCTCTGTGTGTGTGTGTGTGTGTGTCTCTGTGTGTGTGTGTTTGACTTCAACTGTGTGTGTGTGTGTGTGTGTGTGTGTATGTGTGTGTTTGTGTGTCTCACCAGGTTGTGTGTTTCGTCTGGTTCCTGGCGTGTCTTTGCTTTCTCTCTCAGCGCCGCTGGGTTCATGTCGTCTCCCGCCATCTCTCTCTCTCTACGGCTGATCCGGGCCAACTCTTCCTGGACCAGAGCCTGCTCACGCTCGAACCTACAGCCAACACACACACACACACAGACACACACACACACACATCAGCTACAGGGACCGACAGAAACTAATTACATGACCATTAGACACCATTAAAAAATTGATCATGTTGAATAACTAGCCTTGAATTCAGCGAATGCGGGTCATATTTGAGCTGAAAATAAATTTTAATCTGATTTAATCTAATTTAATCATAATAATCTCATTCTCATTACTGTAATGTGAAAAAAAAGAATAATATTTTAATTAAACTAAGTATTTATATATCATGGTTGTATTAGATGTAATACTTTTCAGGGTTATTATCGTTCTCTAAAACCAAAACTATTAAAGGGGTCATATGATGCGATTTCAATGTTTCCTTTCTCTTTGGAGTGTTACAAGCTCTTGGTGCATAAAGAAGATCTGTAAAGTTGCAAACACTAAAGTCTCAAATCCAAAGAGATATTCTTTATAAAAGTTAAGAGTCAGCCACACCTACCTAAAACGTCTCGTTCTAACACGCCCCCACATGTCTACGTCACTATGTGGGAAGATTTGCATAACGCCGCCCAAATGTTCACGCAAAGAAAGAAGGCGTAACTTTTATTCTCGCTGTAGTATTTTTGCCGCCGCCGCCATGTCATGAAGACGCTGTGTGTTTCGTTGTGAAAGCGAAGCTACTTTGTTTGGCCTTCCAAAAGAGGACACGACTAGAAATCAGTGGTTAAGTTGTATTTACAACACTGTTCCAGAACACTTCAACCCAAATATTCAGATGTGTGCAGCACATTTTATGGAGGACTGTTTCCTGATCCTGGGAGAGTAGACTACAATGCCGGCTGTTCTGACTCACAGACTGTAAGTGCGTTTTTATATTTAAAGGATTTGCCACTGACGATTCAACGTGAGTTTTGGGCAGTGTAGAGTAGCACTTGTTGTTCGTCATTTCTCCGATCACAAATGCAGACAGGGTTTTATGTTTACGCGGCGTGGCGCGATGCAATGCAACGCGTTAAAAAGACAGCATAAGTCATTATAATCAGTAATTATGTCCCCACTGGATGCAACAAATGCCTCGTTTGTAATGGGTTTTAATGTTTTTGTCTCGTCGCTCCGGCCGGACACGGCATCAACAGTATGGGGAGGGGCGTAACATTTCCGTCTCACGTTTGAGGTATTCGGCCAATCACAACGCACTGGATAGCTGGCCAATCAGAGCATACCTCGCTTTTCAGACCAATGAGGTTTGTAAAAATCGACGCGTTTCAGAAAGGCGGGGCATAGAGGAGAAACAATAATGTACAGTATGTGGAAAATAATGTGTTTTTTTTACTTTAAACCGCATAAACATTTCATTACACCAAATACACAAAATAATGTTCTTTTTAGCAGCATCATATGACCCCTTTAAAAATGACAAAATGACAAAAACACGTAAAAAATTACTAACTAAATTGTTTTTTACAAAAAATAAAAATAAATAAATAAAAAACACCAATTCAAAATATTAATAAAAACTCTAACATTATATAAATAATACTAATATAACACTGATGCTTTTAATGTATGCTGATTTCAATTTAAAATATCATTGCATTACAGTATGTTTTACTGTAAAGTAAAAAATACTGTATTACAGTAATGAGACTTTAAAAAACTTATAATAAGAAGAATTACAAAAACAATTTTATCTCATAATTATTTATATAAGTAATTATTTTAATTATATTTTAATCAAATATATAATATACAGGTCAGGAGATTAAACATAATTGGTAGCACTTTATTAAAAGCCTTTATATATAATGCATGATAAAAGTAGTTTTAATGCATTAATTATGCTTTGTAATGCAAATTATAATGCATTGTATAAACTCATGAGTAAATGTAACCACAGTTATAATACATTATAATACTCATCTATTTCATTGTTACACCTTTATAAAGCATAACGCATTAAAACATGACAAACAAACCTTCAAACAGTATAATGCATTTTAACTTTGGTTAATTATTTCTGAAAAGAGAATAATGCATAACGTACATTATGAATCCCTTTATAATAAATGAACTTTTCCATGACATTCTAATTTATTGAGATGCACCTGTACATAAAGGCTTTAAGTAAAGTGTAACCACATGATTTACTGATTGTTATCAGAGCTGCAGTAGTTATGGCAGAAGATTTCTTCAGAAATATTGATAAAAATATCTAACACACTAACCGTCTTCTGAGCTCCTCCTGCGTCTCTGCTGCAGATGGCCCTGAAACATCAGAATTACAGTCAAATATGAGATATATAGCGAGTGTTGCTGAAGAGAGGAGCAGAAGCGGTCCTACCTGCTTCAGGTTTGGCACTCTCTGGTTTAGATGATGATGATGATGATGGTCCAGACTCCCGCATCCGCTGAAGAACATCACCGGACAACTGATATTAAAATAGCATCAACTGTGTTACGATTCCCTTTCTAAGGTGTATTTCTGGGTATGAACTTCAAAAGCTGCATATATATATATATATATATATATATGTGTGTGTGTGTGTGTGTGTGTGTGT